TACCGTATTATTTGGCGTTCCTTTAGCGTATAACTTAGATCTTTTATCGTATTGTTTGGTGTTCGTTTAGCGTATAGCTTAGATCTTTTACCGTATTGTTTGGCGTTTGTTTAGCATACATCTTAGATCTTTTAACGTATAATTTGGCGTTCCATTAGCGTATTGCTTAGATCTTTTACCGCATTGTTTAATGTTCATTTAGTGACTACCATAAATCCTTAAATACGGTTTCTTTTTATACTTTATATTTTTGCTACTTTTGGGTGTAACTGGGACCTTGAGTACAAATTTCATTCCACCTCATATAACATATATGATGCAAATGACAATCAAGATACTTGAACTTGAATGTGAGACTGAGATTAATGTCTGATGCTTTCTAAGTTGCACTATATTAAAGCAAAAGCTCCAAAACAAGACGTCAGATGTCAGGATTCATTTTCAGCACACAAGCATTAGGATTTAGGATCTAAACGTCACTGCTGAACAGAAGTGCCACACTTTTGTGTCCAGTTTTCCATTTTAAGCAGGTACTCTATGTAAAACCAATATTTTAAGGAAATCTAAACACACAAATTGCCAAAAAGTAATAGTTTTACATTATTTCTCAAAGACAAATTGACATAGCAATTTTTTTCATCATTTGTTTTCCTCAATATTAAAATAAAAAAAAAAATAAAGAAAGTTCTAAAACTATGATACTTTGAAAAAAAGATGGTCTTTTTAAGAATTATTCTAATGATGTTTTCCAAATGTATTGATTTTTTTTATTTTTATGGATGCAACCATTTTTAAGAATCTGACTTTCTAAATTTCTTGCCTTCTTTAAGTGGATGCAGCTTATTGAGTTCTGTTGATAAAACAGATTTTCAGTTATTGTTCATTAAATTTATTTTTATTTATTTATTCATTTACACCTTTTACATTGCTGACTAGTGTCAGGAATGAGAACGTCATCTCCAGGCATGTTGGTTCCTAATTGTAGAATTAAAACAATTCCTATAAGCTAAGCAGTAGTTTTCTATACAATCTTTGAGGTTAAGATGAGTAAAAATTTTGTGTGGAAATGGTCAGATGTTGTCACCAGCCTGAACAGCAAGATTATACTGATCCTACTTTAAGTTATGTAATTTTATAATAAGTGAACAATAATCCCATGGAAATATGTTGATCCTTCTACATCAGAACCAAACCAAGACAGGATCAGACCTCTAAAGACTGGTTAAGATTATTATTGGAATTTTTCCTGTTAAAATATACCTCTGTTTTTGCATGAAATAGAAAAACACCATCTTTCTGAAGCAACAGCAGACAAACAATTTGCCCGTTGATGTCTTTAAACAGACTAGCTCACTTACTCGGTCTGCTTCTCTGTGGTGGTTCTGCCGAAAAAGTCAAAGTCAATCTGGAACCATTTGTAGATGCTGGAGTGAACTGTGTGGTACTTGTCGCAGATCTGTTGAGGTGTCAGGCCCTCTTCTCTGGCTTTGTTCTCTGTAGCTGTGCCGTACTCATCTGTGCCACACACAAACAGCATGTTCCAGCCTCGCAGACGGCCATACCTAGGAACGGTAGCGGTGAAAACACATACAACGATGACAAAAACAAATATAACATTTAAAAAAAAAAACAGGCCAGCAGAAATATGCATTAGGGTTCCAAGTCAATAAAAAGAGGGAAAAACAGAATAATGTAATAAACTATGATAAGAGTGTGGATGATGCTTTAGGGTACAAAATGTGTTAATTTACAGCAAGTGACATGTTTTGGTTATGAACGTTATCTTTTTTCTAATACTGTACATAAAACAAACAAATATTACAAGCATTTTATTTTATTTTTTTTACCTGGAGAAGACATCAGCACTGAGAACGCAGCCAATGATGTTTCCAAGGTGAGGAACATTGTTGACATATGGCAAAGCGCTGGTCACAAGGACGTTTCGCTTGCCCTCCTGGGGCAAACTGTCGTGGGTCAAAAAGAAGTTAAATTTAACATTGACTTAACATAACCTACCCTTTTTTTTTGGGGGGGGGGGGGGGGGACTATCGGACAATAAACTTAACAAAAGTGTTTAACTTACCAGTAAACATAATTTCCCTTCAGCTAGTATATACAGTAAGCTTCAACGGGTAGCACAGTAAAAGCAGTAGTGTAGTCTATACGTGATACTCGGGTATATGGAGTATACCCACTAGAAAAGCTTAAAACTTCAGTATACCCACTTAAAAGTGCCCAATGATACATGACATATCATTAGGCATGTGTCATTGATACGTTAAACGACAGTTAAACGCTTCAGTAACAATCTATCGGTATGCAGCACTTTGCTTTGATACTGTTTTATAAATTCTTTAACATGTTTTTAATACAGAACCAACTGTTGTACAAAGTTTGTTGTTCATTTATTCAAATATAAGCATCAGAGACATTTGGAAATGTTCGATATGCTTAAAAATCCAAATAAATTGTCGATTACATTGTACTAACCAGTGTACTTTGGTTTCTAAGCACGTATACCCACTACAAAAATGTAGACTACACCACCGAGTAAAAGTGTAGATGACACAATGCCATCAATAATTTTAATCTGCAATACTTTAAGTAGAATACTGTCAGGGGAATTATGTAAAGGTCACGGATGCTATCACCAACTAATGTTAAATTGACAAGTGTCTTTCTGTCTACTCAGAGATGAGCCTCATAACTGATAACTTCTGACACATTCATAAACTGTGAGCTGTGAAGCAGAGGTTGTCTTGACCTCGCCTCTGTCTGATAACTGGTATTAAAGGATAACCTAACTCTTTGTCCGTGCGTAGACTTTGCAACTGGAGCTTCGATGGGACATCTGTGTAACTGTGTGTGAACTCTGACCCCCTTGCAAGTAAAACTGTGTTGAAAGATCTTGTCGTATCCTCTAAGTAGCTTATTTGGGTAATGAGCTGATGAAAAGGTAATTAATTTATCCAACAAATACATCTTCTGCAAGTCTCTCTGTGTTTCTGCTACATTGGGTAAAAGTGTTTTTAATACTTACATGGGGTGTGTGTTTGTTGTCAGTGAGGTGTTCAGACTTTTCCTCCAGGTGAGAACAGCTGCTTCCATCTCCTCCTCAGAAACATCCCGCTCACCCTCCTCACACTAGCCAAATGCAGAGATGTATAAAAAAAAGATTAATGAGATTTATACAGATATATGAAGTTATTATGTTTAATATGAAAATGTATTTTAACTGTGAGGCAATTTAAAAAAAAGGAAATGGTGAAACACTGCCCCCTGTTCTCTATCTAAATGCACTTAATAATCAATCTTTTACAAAGATTAGGTTGAGACTCACTTAGAAAATGCCTCTGCTTTACAAGAAAATTACAATATTAAAACATTTCCAAGCAGGGGAAACGCTACAGAGCACAAAGCCAGCAAATACGGTAAACGTTTAACAATACACGTGTCCTTCTGGATGTTTTATTTTAATCATTTGAACATATACAGTAAAAAAAAAAAAAAGATTGTTTTCCCAGTAACCCCAGGTGAACATTTTCCTTAAGGCATACACACAAGTGTAGCTTTACATGCACAAGTGTAGCTACCGTAAGCATTTAAATTCCTACAAATATATTGTTCTGTGAGAATGCTTGAAGTCTAACAGTTTAAGTGATGATCTAGCAGATACCTCAGCAGGGCTGCTGTTGCATGGCTGTGTGTCTCTGCACTGGCTGCTCTGAGGCGCAGGTTGCTTCTGCATGTAGCTCTTCATGGCCTGCAGGCCTTTTCCCTGAAGCACCGTTTGAGCAGCAGACTGACAACTGTGCAAGGCAGCCACACGGTCAAACCAAGCCCTAACCGACGTGTGCTCACCTGAAAGAGTGACAGGGAAAGAAAAGAGGGAGAAAGAAGCAAAAAATGAACAAAAATACTGCAAGAAACTTGAACTGAATATGTCTAAAAGAAGCAAACATAAACTGCAAAAAGAAGTAAAGTGAAGCACTTACTCAAGGCTAAAGAGGAGTCAGATAAAACAGGGTGTAGTGCCCCCCACAAAACAACGTCAGCAACAGAAACAGCTTCCTAAAACACAGAGTAAGTTGGTTAATATTACTTCTACTGCTTGACGTTACAAAATAATTACAATAGCATGAACGGAAAATACTTGATACGGTACCCCAGTAAAATACAACATGTTCCCCTTGCTCAAACTTTGGTCCAAAAAGTTTAAGGGACTTTGAAGAACACTGGACACCTCTGAACCTTTTCCCTGCAGCACTGCCATGTGAAGCGTTTGTAACAACGCAGGCTGTAAAACGAAAAGTAAATAAAGGTTTATTTAAACTGACTGAACAACATCAAATGCAACTGTAAACAAAAAGGAAATGAAGTTAAGCAATATTGCTTTGGTTCAACACAGAATATGGTCAACTATTCCTATCTGATGTACAAACTTTCTTTACAATAAGCTTCAGTCATCTAGTTGAGTGAATTTACTGCTTTGCCAACAAAACTGAAGACACAGGTCAGATGATTCATGAAGGGTGTACCTGAAGAACTGTGGTCTCCCATTCAAGCCACTGATTACAGAGATTGTTGCATTCTTGTCCATTTGCTTCAAAGAAGTATCTGTGACGAAAAACAGACAGACGTGCCCAGTTAAAAGCTTGCTGCTCAAAGCTAAAAAAAAAAAAACTATTTAAAATCAACGTATATACTAAATATTATTACTGTCTAAGAAATAAAATTAAATCATAACAATTATATTATTTTGCAAAACAACTTCTTAAACCTTATTTTTCACATTTACACGTATGTCAGAAAAAAAGTACTTGATTAAAAAAAATACTTTTAAAATACCCAAACGTCTTACAGTAAAAGTAATCTAATGCATGTAATATAAGAACGGAGAAGAATGATTTGTGCAAATATTAAAGTATGTATTGACTTCTGACCTGCAAATGGCATTAGAGCTGAAAAGATGCTGCCCACTGGGCAGGAGCAGAGCTGGCAAGGATGGACGGCTAAGGAAAGGCACCACTTTCTCTGTAATTCAAGAGAAAAATAGACCAAAGATTTTGTAACAAACAACATTCATTTAGTTCAATAAAAGTTTTCATGTTTAAAAATAGTAACTTCAACAAACGCTAAAGTACCTTCATTAAATTATAAAAAGTAAACCCTCATTTAATTCTAAGATTTGAAATGTTGATAGATAATAACAGATTATTTTGTCTTCAACAGGTCTTAAAAAGTACATACAACCATGGATGAACAAAATCAAACTAAACATAAACAAAAACACTTTATATTAAGTGTCTAGCACAGTGTTGGAAGGGCAATGAACTGCGCTTGTTTTGACGAAGAGTGTGCAAGATTTATCCAGGCTGAAGAAAAAGACAGGTACGGTCATATAACTGACCACTAATAAAGATTATTCTGTAACTTACCGAGTCAGAAGGCTTCAAATACTAACCTATAAAATGTACTGCATCATGTGGTGTAATATGTCATCTTTTATTGTGTTGTCTAAATTTATATTTAGCTCAATTCAAAATATGATGCAATTCAATTCAGTTTATTTATATAGCGCCAAAGTCACAACAGAAGTTATTTCAGGACACTGAACAGAAATGCATAAAACCACGTTTAACAAAGTCTAACGTTTACTAGGACTATATATATTAATTTACAGATTATCTATCTCAATTACAATTAAATGTGTTTATTATTGGTTTACTTTAAAAAATGATCAGTGTTTTCAAGGTTCATGCTCAATTCATGCTCTCGAGGGGCCGAGATGGTGTAGAGGCAGGGCAGCCGGCTTGGGACCCGAAAGTCCCAGGTTCGATCCCCAGTCACTGCACATCACGTGGCGTCTCTGGGCAGCACGTCTCATCCCCAAAATGTCCCCCGGGCGCTTTCAATAGCTTCCCACTGCACCACCTGGTGGTGGATGGGTTAAATGCAGAGACTAATTTTGCCATTGTATGGAAACATACAGTGCTGACATTGTGATGACATTATTATTATTATTATTATAATCCAGGTAAAAAAATCCAACAATGTTCACTCAGGTCATCTGGATGGTTTCTTTTTTTGTTGAGAGACGTTTCGCCCTTCATCCAAAGGACTTCATCAATCTGAGGAGTCACAAACAAACTGTTTCTCCACCAAGCAGCACACTCTCATTGTGGACCATCCAGTTTCCTGGTGATAAGATGGTTTTGTCTTATTACGTCTCATCACATTTTGTCCTTCATCTGAAACGTCTCTCAACAAAAAAAATAAATAAATAAATAAACCGTCCAGATGACCTGACTGAACATTGTTGGGTCAGTGTTTTGTTTTACTACAGCATTATACTGTTTTTGCAATCAACAATATGTCAAATAATTCACAGAATCCATCCATCCATCCATACATTATCTTTTACCCGCTTATTCCATTTTGGGTCACTGGGGTCGCCGGTGCCCATGTCCAGCAATCACTGTGCGGGTGGGGGACACCCTGGACAGGTCGCAAGTCCATCACAGGGACACATGGAGACAAACGAGACAAACAACCATTCACTCTCTCACTCACACCTAGGGACAATTTAGAGTTACCAATCAGCCTAACATGCATGTTTTGGGTCTGTGGGAGGAAACCGGAGCACCCGGAAAAAGCCCACGCATGCACCGAGAGAACATGCAAACTCCACCCAGAAAGGCCCCCGGACCGGGATTTGAACCAGGGACCTGCTCGCTGAGAGACAGCAGATCTACCAGTTGCGCCACCGTGCTGCCTATTCACAGAATTCTTCAATAAAATGATTTACATAAATTATTTATTAATTTTAAATCACATCATGTACTACCCCCAACCCTTTAAAGTTCTAACGTGTAATTTTGAGTACGCGTGTCAGGTGGCACATCAGTCTTGTGCCACTTGGCCACATATTTTCCAAACAGAGCACTTCGCTCTCAGATTGCAGGTTTACTTGTGGTTCCTAGAGTGTCTAAAAGTAGAATGAGAGGCAAAGCTTTCAGTAAACAGGCTCCTCTCATGTGGAACCAACTTTCAGTTTCTCTTAATCAGGCTGACACCCCATCTACTTTAAAACTGGGTTTAAGACCTCCCTTTTTGATACATCATATAAATGCCAGTCTTGTTAATTAAATTTCTGTGATCCAAGCTTTCTCTTAAAATAGCAAAAATAAAACAGCAGAAAAAAATGCCCCATGAGTTAGTACTTTACCTGTTAGTTCATTATTAGTAATGTAATAGTTACTGATCTCAAGATAGTTTTATCTAAATCTATATTAAGAGCTAAATCAATATTCATACTGTTTTTGTGAGGTTAAATTCATTAAGCAAACCAGGATTTAAAAACTCTGAACCCAAGACAGACTGTTAGTTTTAGGCTGAACACAACATGACCTCTCTGCTGACAAAAAATAGACCATGTGAAATGTCAGATCGTTTGTTTACCTAAAAGTGTTATCTGGTTCAAGTTCACCTAACCACACTAAGAAAAAAATCCTCATTTCCCCATAAAACAACAAGCTGGTCAAATAAAATTAGTTTAAAATGTGTACAGAAGAAAAAAATATGTCTTGTAGAAAATGTGTCAATTTAGGCCTTTTCAAGGCGAGTGTGAAATCACATGGAATGACTTTCGTATGATTTTAGACTAACAGAGAAAAACTGTTTTAAAAATCATTGTATCTAACTTCACAAACATGTGTCATTCCTTATGAGAATGTATGTGTTAACACAAGCCAAACCACTGATAACCTCAGTCAGATAATAATGACATTTCTCATTAAAAGTAGGTTATGTCCAGTGATGGAATGTAACTAACTACAAATACTTCGTTACTGTACTTAAGTACATTTTTCATGTATCTGTACTTTACTTAAGTAGAGTTAAATGTGGGTACTTTATACTTTTCCTCCACTACATTTTACATCAAGTATCTGTACTTTCTACTACACTACATTTCTATAATGCGTTGCACTACAAGTTACATTTATGTTGCAGCTTTTTGATTTGTTTGTTACTTTGAAAGTAACCAATGGTGAGAGGGGAGTTGGTCCATTGAATCACTGCAAAGTGGGCAGGTAACGTTAGACCCACCTTCAAGAAGAGCTGGGCCAATGACATATACTCTAATATATTTGTCACTGAGCTGGGTGCACCTGCAGCACCGCTAACACACCCAAAATGTATTCAACCACAAGAGAGTCAGCCAGAAGATATGCTCCACCCATGGCCTTATTGAAAGACTGCTCAGTACAACAGGACAGATTCTCTCTCCCATATGAGCCAGACTGGACTCAAAAATCTTTGAAAACCAACTTCTTCTGAACTTGAACAAGAAATTCTTGCTGCAATATTAAAATGTGTCAGTTCATGGGATGCTAGGACAGGAGACGAGATGTCTCAGGTCCAAGTTTTAAAAATGGTGTCAGGAAGTTAAAATAGTGTTCAATATTGACCCATTACAAGGTTGACTAGACAGTATTTTAACTGGAGTTGATGACAAACTGGAGTTGAAATGATCAGATGTTCCTTTGTTAGGTCTAATGCTCCTTTTGTTCAGGCACACAACTTTTACTTAAATGTGTTTACTGCAGTTAAAATGACACATTGGGTTTTCTCTGTGTTAAATAAAAACTTTCAAAAAGTATAATCATTCCTCTTTCTTATTTTGATCAATAGCATTTAACTCTGCATGTCATCCCTGAAATTCTGACGCACAGAATCACAAGTCCAAGTGTGAACTATGTCACAGAGATAAAAACATGTATTTTCTGCAGCATTGTTCATTAAAATGGCTCAACACTATTAATGTATTACACAAAATATACATATGGTACGCAGACTTAAAGATATGTAGACAATTGTATTATGTAATACATTCATGAAGTACTTTTACTTTTAATACTTTAAGTATTTTAAAAGCAAGTACTTTTTTAATTTTACTTAAGTAAAACGTTAATGTGGTACTTCTACTTTTACTAGAGTACATTTTTGTCTGTTTACTTGTACTTTTACTTAAGTACAGTGTTTGAGTACTTTCTCCACCACTGGTTATGTCACACATTTGTTTTCAAATCTAAAATTATAGTGACATAATATTCAAAGCTGCATGAACATACGGGCATAAAAGCTTAACAAAAACAACATGAACCAGAACAAACAACACTAAAACAAGTCAAACACAGCAGTTATATGCTGTAAGGATGTTTTCCAGTCGTTTCCTGATGCACAATGTTCATTCTGACTGGCAGATGGCAGAGCAAGCTAAGTTAGCTAGCATGCTGCTTTCACAGAGGCCCATTATTCAGCTCAAAATGTTATAAAAGTACAAATAATAATTTGTCATTACTGTTTTCGTGAACAATGTCCGTTATTAAACTTAAATACACGTATATTCACAGTCAACAACGTTAAGCTAACCATGCTTTCCCCACCTTCGTGGTTGACGTACAGAACTTCGCACTGAGCTCCTGTCACTTCCAGCGCAGCTAACACTTTCAGGCAATGCGGGTTGCCTTCACTTACAAACAGCTTCATCTGGCCGGTGGCAGCTCGTGTTGCTATAACAGCTGGACGCAGACTTTCTTATTCGTATTTTGTTCTCAGTCTCTCTGATAAAAACCTAAGTGGTCGTTAGTAACTTTGCCGGCGAGTGCTGTTCATGCTGATGCAAGCAGCGCTTCCTCTGTTAAAAATGGGGGAAATGTAGTTTTTCGGCTGTTTCTGTATCCCTTGTAGAAACTGGGGCTGTCTAGTTAATAAACTACAGCTCCCAAAGATCTTTTCCAACTACGTAACGATGAGCGTTGAAAGAATGGCTCGTTCTGTAAATATCTACCAGTATCGGTGGGCGGCACGAGTCTTTATGTATTTCAATAATATACCGGACGAAACTGTTTATTAAAACACGCGCACCCTGTTACAACTATTTCGGTCATCTGATTGGTTTTGTGAAAAATTATATTCCCCAACTGTAGCCAATCATAAGGCACCAAACCCCACAGAGCTCGAGCTATTTTCTATCCGCTTAAAGAGCGAGGAGGGGTTCTGTCATCATGGGATGGAAAGGTAACTAGTTCTCATGAGTTCTTGTTAATTTGAAAAAAAGTGCACAGCGGAGTTTCCTCCCTGTGCTTTGCAATAGTCTAACTATGTAAATGTATTTATATCAAGGAGATAAGAGCAGCAAACTTATTCATTAAAGGCACATTTATCGTCAGTTCATTCCAAAAAAACAAGAAGAGAGCTGTCACCACGCACGTCGCTGCAAGGTGAGTCAATGATGCATACATACCTCAAAAGCTAAGATGAAATTGTTTAATTATTATTTTCTAATTAAATATTTATGCAATATACAGGCCGCTGTCATCCTTTTAATCTTTAGGGAAAAAAATCTAAATCCGCTATTAAAAAGTTTGTTGTTGTTTTAAAATCTCAATCAAAAATGGGTTTATTAACTTTAAAAAAAAAAAAGGAATACAGAGGATTCTTTAGAATGCTTTTTTTTTAACTTAGTTTTATGCATATTATCATTCTGTGCCTTTTCAATCGTTTTTTATTTATTTTTTATTTTTTATTTTTGATACTTCATAAATAAAAAGTATCAAAATAATAAAAAATAAAAAAACGTGTATATGTGTTTTGCACACTAATTGACCGAACATGTGTGCCTAAGTTGGTCAAATAGGTCATAAGTCATTCATGTCTTACGTAAAGGTTTACGGTAAGAACAGCAGTAAATATTTCTTTCAAAACAAGTTCTTTTTTCCACTTCATAGTTTCAAACCACTTAGTGTCGCAACTGCTTACACTTTGACAATAAGCCACAGAGCTATTCACCCTCATATACTTCCTGTGAGAGAGCATCATACATTTTAGTTTCCTGTTTAACCCTTCTTTATAAACACATCTTTTACTACTTTTAATTATTTTAGTGTAGGTTTTCATTCCAACTTTGCGCTATAATTCTACAGGTAAACTTGACTAGACAAGTCTCTCTTGAAAATTAGTCCTCATGACTCAATGTGACTACATGTATAAATAAAGGTTAAACAAAAAACTATAACGTTGAAGAAACAAGCAGCTAATCTTTTGCCGTCTTTTATAACCTTGCACTAATAACAGACACTTTGCATATGCCATGGTTAAATATTCGCCTGCAGCTGCATGCGTGTTAGCCTTTACCAGAATATGGACATGTTAACCACATGGGTTGATGGAAACAGTTTGACTGACTCATTCCATTTCTGTTGTTTCATTCTTAAGATTGTGCAAAGCAGATTTTCTCTCTTTTAGTCAACGGAAGCTTGAAAGATTATCACCGTTTACAACTTTCCCAATTAAAGTGCCTTGCACTTCCACCGGTGTTAGTTACAAGTTCACCATGCCTACTGCTACACTCTCACACTGATTGATTGATGTGTGGATCTGATGTCCGAGAGAGATTGTGATCAGAAGTTTTAGACTGTATGGTTTATTATTGGTCAGATGATGCACTGCAGCTCTGTGGAGATAGATGTGTTGCTGTTTGCAATTTTACTCCTAGTGAGGGGAAAACCATGATGATAAAGTTCAACAAAACCTCGGCTAAGCTTTGTGCTTTATATAGTTCAGACCAGAAGATGAACACAACATAGCCTGTGAACAGTTTGGATGTGACTTCTGGCCATTTTATTACTCTATATAAGTACTTTTCAAAAGTCTAGAGAAGGATTCTCCAATCCTGCTCCTCGAGGGCTACCATCCTGCATGTTTTATGTTTCTCTGCTCCAATACGCCTGATTCTATGGTTGGATTACCTCTGCATGTTTTGCTGAAGGTTGATAATCACCCATTGATTGAAATCCGGTTGGAGCAGAGAAACATTTAAAACATGCAGGATGGTGGCCCTCAAGGAGCAGGATTGGACACCCCTGAAAGCAACTACTGCATTCTGTTCTTCTTTTTTATTTTTATTTTTTATTTTAAATTCTAAATGACTGTCTTGCATTTTTAAAAGTTCTCTATATCAGCAGTTCTTCAGGCTTTATAAAAGACTTTTAAGGTTTTTCTTAGACCCTTTCTTTAGTCTTGCGTATCTAAAGCCACTGGTTACTGACCTATATGAACCACTAGGGCATAAAATAATGCATACATTTAGAAGCATCATGTCCATCCCTGACAACTTTTTCTAAGAAACAAATTGAAATTGTCACTTTAGGTGTATTATGGTTTGCGCCATAAACAAGTAATTTATTTCAATTCCTCTGACATGACAAAAAAGGCTAAGAATACCAGCGTTGATCCGCTCTAATAATGTTTTTTCCTTTAACAAGTTTATTCTCAAAGTGCGTTTTGCTAAAAACTTGGATAATGAGGATATTGTATATTATTTAAAGCAGTCTATCTTTATTGTGTGAAGAAATGAGCACACTGGAAAAGTGGGGGCAAAATCAAAAAATTGCTGGACTGAAAAGCCTATTACAGTCAATGACTGTTTTTGATCGTTGCATCTTTAAGAAACACAAAATAAAAGTACTGCAATGACCTAACAGAAGCATTGTGTGTTTATTTGATGCATTAGATTGTTAGTATTTACAGAGCAGGTCAGGAGAAATATAAATCAGAAAGTAAAACACCCATCTTTAAAACACAGCGGAGTCTTTGTCGTGGTTTGGGCTGCACTTTTAGCCAGTAGCATTGAAGGATCAGGTTAGACTTCATGGCATTAATGCAAAAAATGATCAACTTTTAATCATATTGAAGCTCGTCTCTGAGATCCTGGATCCGGTAAATCTTTGAACGATCATACCAGAAATTGATATAAATCTTGTTAAATTGTCCATACTGTTTGCACGTTTTAATAACCTGGACTTATTTTTCATTTCTGAAGCATAACATGAAGAAACAATGAGTGGTTGGAAAATGTTTACTCTGCTTTAGGTGCCAGCTTTAAATAAATATTTTATATACACCATTTTTTAATCATATACAGTCAGTTTGGCACTATATTTATAAAGAGCACTTTAAAACAAATTAATGGTCAGATTGAACAATTTAGTTTGTCAAACTTACAAATATATATTTTGTATAACTGGATGTGTTATAATGAATACATATCTTAAGATCTGCAGGGTCAAGCCAATATAAAATAAGATTTTAGTCATCTTACAAATATGTATAATAATAATTATAGCTTTAGGAGCTGCTGTATATTATTTTTCTTTTTTGATTCAATAGAGAAAACGTGTTAATAATTAATTTAGTTTAAGATATTCTGCCTCACTTTTATTATTAAAGCATTTTCTATGACCAAGTTTTTGTCCATTGAGGTGCAGGTTTAAATAAGCAGACAAAAATAGAATAGAATAAGAACATACATAATGAACTTTTATTGTCCCCATAGGAAAATTATTTCTTAGTAAGCAAACACGTAACATCCTCCTAAAATAACAACCAGAATAAAAACAAATGATCTCCATGCAAACACAGTGAAGACAGGAAAAAACCTGGAAACACTGTTTAGTTCAGGTTAAAACCCAAAGCCAACACTGAAACAACAGAACATATAAAAAGAAAAGTCGACATCACCTACCTTCTTGTAGAACTCATAACAGAAGTGCATTGCTCTATTATTTAACAGAGGTCATCCATGTTGAATGATTTTAGAAAAGTAGAACAATTATAAAATCGATTAAAAACATCCTTCAAAAGTTACTTGAAGGGTTTCTACTGTTCAAGCCTGCAGAGCAAAAATAATTAAGGTAATAAAACAATTAATCTTTAAAATATTTGTTTTTGAAACTTATTACTGCTGATATGAAGTGTCACAAGAACGTAATATGCAGAGCGAAAGGACTGATCGTGAACAACTCAGACACAATAGTATAAATTATATGCTTTTATTTACAGTGGACAATAGTTCAGGAAGTATCAGGAACCCTGGAGAGCAAGGAGTTGGGTCTGGTCCAAGGTAGTTGATCAGAACGTTCAAGATCCTTATGGTAGGTAGTTTGGTTCCATAATCCTGTACGATTATGAGAAGGTCCAGTAGACTCAGAAGGACATGTGGATGGAGAGCGAGGAGAACAGCTGAAGAGCACACAGGTAGGTTTCCAGAGATGCATTAGAAGGTACAGTAATCAGGTAGGTCTCAGGAGGCACACTGGAAAGATCACAAGGTAAGTATTCACAAAACTATAGAGATTCACCAAAAGCCTAGAAGCACGAACCATAGGCAGGGTAATGCTCGAGCATCGAATGGAAGTCATCATGTGCCTTAAGACCCACATACTCGGGCATACTTCACTCTGCGGAGTCCACACGTGCTCGAGGCAGACTCAAAGTGGACATCCGCCGGACATGTCTACGCAAAGATAAATTTTGATGACCACGTACATATACTTGGTGTCACACAATAAACTGCCCAGCGACGGTGTTCATATCGACCTGTTTTGTATGCGACACCAACCGCTCTCTATGTTCCGAGCAACCAGTCGTAAGGATGTGCAGCGCGACCGCCGCTCTCTGTGCAGCACTGGGTGCGGTGGCTGCCCTGGTGTTGAAGAAACCGGGCTAAGCGCCCAACTAGCTCATCGAACTTGCTAGAATTCATCCGAAAATATTTAAAATGTTTCTCGCTGTCCATCGTCTTCATGTCCTTCTTTTCTTTTGTTTGTTTTTTT